ATTACCTTCGTAGGAAAGATATTCTGTAGCATCAGTAAAATTGATGGATTTGTTATTTCCCTTTTACCCACCCTTGGTAGATCCTTGTTGATTTCTTGAGAACCTCTTTGCACATCTCTAGAGTTGGGGCACTTCCTTGCTGGGAATCCCTTTTGGATCTTTTGGTTCCTGCTGGCACCCGGGCAGTCGGAGTGGTGATGGCTGACTTTGGGAACTTCGGTTGATTTCGGAACTTGGTTGCCACCATGGCATCCTCTTCACTGTGATCATTCAGTTCACTCTTTGCAAAGCAGATCATCCCCGCTCTCCAGTTATAAGGCCAACATCCACTTCCCTTGGCAAGAGTTATGGGAGCATTTCTGGCAAACTTCCCAGGATAAATCTCAGTGAACTGGGTTCTCAGTATGCTATGGTGGTTCCTCAAGCGGCATGAACCCTCGATCGGCTGATGCTGGTGACGGTGATCGCAGCACAGCCCATGCAGCTTTTGAAATAGCGGTGCAAAACTGGTCAGAACTGTCATCCCTTTTTGCATTGGCATGCCTGTTTCAGGATCTTTCAGATCCCCGGCCCGGCACATATCAAACTGGCATGCTTGAGTATGTTCATGAACTTCGGCAATGTGCTGGCTCTGAAACATGAGAGATCGCTTAGGCTGTTCCCAGTGAAAGTGATTTCCCTGTGATATTTGAAACCGATACAGAGTTATCCCCAGGGCCACTTGATACAGTAGGTCTCTACGTTTACGTTGATATTCTTCATAGTGTTGCATGGACCTAGCTGAGTTCAACTGCGACCACGCTGACCATGGTCCACATGTGGGGCTGTACCAAGTGTGCCTGGGACGATGTCTGGCCATCATTTGGAAAAGTTCTCTGCGGCCGGAACTCTGGGAAAGATCTCCCTGCGCTAGACCAAAACGGAAGGCCTTCTTGCCCAGCTGAAGCATCTGTTGGGTCAACGGTGAGTTCTCACTACACATGATCTCAGCGAGTTCCCAAGGTTTGCCCAGTTGTTTGGTTTCCTTCACAACGGCTTCAAACTCATGAGAAAACTGTTGTACCAACTTTTTCATGTATGATGCTTCATGCGACATGGCCGTCAGTATGGTGTCGTCCCAATCCTCTCTCACTGGTTCCCCTCCTGGTGAATCTTCGGCTCCTGGAAGTTCTGGGTCTCGATATGGTGGATGACCTTGGTCAATGCATTGTCCAGGTTCAACATCCTTTGCTGCATCGCATGGACGTCCTCGGCCAGTGGAGTGACATGACTCTCCGTAATCACTGGGCCGTACGTCTCTGGTTCGATGTCCCAATCTGTTTCGCCATCCAGCGAAGAGATGACGGAAGGCGTGGCCATGGTCTTGGCCATTGCCTTTGCCTTGCTCTGGGGACGGCATTGGCTCTTGGCCTGGGGCTCTCTTGGGACAATCATCTGCGACTGCTCCAAGGACTCCATCTTCAGCTCCACGAACTTCAGGCAGCGACGGTGGGCTTCTTTCTGACTGTTCTGATAGCGGTTGATCATGAAATGGACCCACTCTTGGTCCTGCCAGGTGTCTGCATAAGTGCTTCCGCTGTACTTCTGGCCAAACGACACCACCTCGGACGACAAGTCCTCGAGTGTGAGATGGTCCAAGCTCTCCATGGCAACCATAGTCGGGATCTGGAGGTTGCGAAGCCTCTGAGACAGGGACATGGCAGGCTGATCGGATCGGTTGATCTGGCGTTTTGAACGTTTCGGCACCTTGAGCTTGGGCTGCATTGGTGCAGATGGCAGTGGTGACTCTTTCCTTCGACTGAGATTAGTTTTGATCCTTTTCCGGACTTCCATTTTGACTCTCATGGGAACCCTTGCAAACTTGACTAGGACACAACAGACCAGGCTGGACACTTGGTTTTGACTCGGTCTCATCGGACACGTATGTCTCGGCGCAACTCTGCATCCCAGTACTGTGACTGGAGGTCGACCTATCCATGGTGGCTTTTATATGCTTTTATGAGTTCATTTAAGTCCAACAGAAACAAACCCTTGGCAGTGAGTTGCAGGACACTGGTTGTTTCATCTGAGCACTGGACAAGGTCTGTGTTGCGCAGTCGATTTTGGCTTGCAAAGTCCGCGTCAAAGTGTTATTGATCAGGAATGGGTCGGGTACTATTGCTATCTTCAATTTCAGGTGGCCTAAGGGGACTACCAAGGCTTCTTCACTAGTCAGGGTAGACTGGTTCCCAAACTTGAACACAATGTGGCATGGACACCTGGACAACTTCTTGCGGATGTTGACATCGAGACTGCGAATTAGCTCACCCAACTGGTGACTGCCTATCACGGTCTTTGAGGCTCCGAGGTCCAAGATACATCAAGATACCATGTGGTCCATGAGATGCAAAACAGGCCGTCTCAACTTCTGCAAGGTGGATTTGGTTCGGATGCTTGTTTGTCTTCTGGACTCTCGGTGCAGTTTGGGAATCTGGTTGACTCCCCTGTGGCATTTCGGCACGGTGGGACAGCTGGCTATTTACACGATGCAACAAACGTCAGTTCAGTGTTTCCTGTGCTCGTGCTCGTTCATGAAGGGCTTGAGACTCATTCCTGAAACCCCAGGCTCTCAGGCGTTCTTTGGCACTTGATGGATTTTCTATACCTAACTTATCCCCATTAGATTCCCCATGAAAGTTAGATCTCTCACCACCAAATGTTTCACCAAAACTTACATAAACTGGCAAAGTGTCATCAATGGTTTCTTGGCTGGCAACCGGGAGCTGCAGAATTCCAGTGGCATGACATCTTCGGCATTGTCTATTGACACGGTGGTGGTTGGCATGCTTCCTGACATGGTCGACGGAGTGGACGATGGAGCTGCACTGCCTGAACCTGACTGGCGATATGGACATTCTGCGTTCCAATGTCCCTTGCGATTGCAGTTCCTGCAGTATGAGTTCAGGATCCGATCTTGCAGACTACGCTTTGGCCTTTGAGACCAGGAGTTCTTCCCCTTAGATCCGCCTTTGGCGTTCTGGGTCTTCCCCTTGGAACTGGAAAAACTACCTTTGGATGTACTCCAGAAACCTCGGTTCTTGAACTTCTCTGTCAATCGGCGTCTCGCCTCTGTGTAGGCGCTATACGCCGAGGCTAAATCAGCGTCGTCCTGCAGTAGATCAGAGGCGGCTGCCTCAAAGTCCGTCACCAGAGCAGCGTCTGAATCCCCTTCCTGCAGGAGGGATTCAGCAAAATCGTCCTCCATGACATCATCTTGGGCATGAAAAACTGGTTCATCGTCATCATCATGTTCGGCAACCAGTGTGGATGAACTGTACACCTTTTGTTTTGATGCAGACCTCTGACCTGTCATCTCCTGAAAAAAGGTGGCTCCCAAAATTCGCACTGATTCAGATACCTTTTGCACTGTGAGCTTTCCTTCCAGACTGTTGTCAGGTTCCAGAATAACTCGTTTCTTCTCCTCCGGGCTCAAAGTCGATCCCCTGAGCAGTACAAAAGCTTGCAAATCTTTCAGTGACAGCTTCTGCGCCAGGAATTTACTCCAGGCGATATCAGATCGTGCGATAGGAGTCATTTGATTCATCCTTCAACTGCGTGGTGTTGAACAACGCCTGTTCAGCTTCTTCGTATTGTCGCTCCAGCCCAATGCGACCCCAGTGACCACCCAAAAGTTCGATCAACTTCCGGACAAATGTTTCATCATTTTCAAGGAGTTCTGATTGGTGAATCTGAAGCTTCGCAAAAGCTGACCCTTGGCAGTTCAAAATCAAACGCATCACAAGCTCTGTTATCTTTGTTTTGGGCCATGCGGCCAACACCAATTCCACCTTCTGAGTGTAAATCTGTAAGGAATCCTTCGATGGATCAAACGTTGGGACCAATGTGGTAAGAGCACTACCAACTCCGGTTGTGGTCCCCCCGCCATCACCATCAGATGCTGCAGACATCCTGATGACCTCCCTGGATACTTCTTCGGCAGGCTAACCAGTGATATTTGTAGCTCGAGCCGGAGCTCCGCTACCACTTTGAATGGTAGGGACCCCCTTCCAACTTCTAAGACAGAATCCAAGCACCCTGATGGAGTAAAAGATGATACCCTGACCGTTCCAATCTCCAACCTCCAGGCACGCAGACACCTGTCTGTTTTCCCTTCGCTGCAGCACTGATTGATCCACAGATACACCTATGGAACTTCGGACGGCCTCGTCCTTCTTCCAACTTCCAAGCGAACCCGGTCGCAAGACACCGACGCTATGGCACCAAGGTGAATGCCCTCTATCCGCCCACACCTAGCTCCTAGCCGTGACACCTGCGGAAGTGATCGTGAGATCATGGTTGAAGAGACCTGTGGCAATGGTTGATGGCTTCAAGTGGTCTGCACAAATTGGAATCACAACGTGTTGTATATACATACATACTACATATACAAGTACGACATGTCTCGATACGACCCCCAAAGCAAGCTGTGCATATATTGAGATATATTGAGTATAGGAACACTCTCAAATCTAGAAAGTAGAAATGCTCATGTTTGATTTCCATTCAACATTTTGAGATGTTTGAGGGTGTTTACACTGCGAGCACGTGTCAGTTTGATACTGCCCCCAACACCCCAGCCAAGCCCTGCATACATGCACGCCACCATGGCCTCACAAAGTGAGGCTGTGGTAGAGGCAGGAACGAAACAATGAAGATCAAGGTCAAAACCCCGTTTTTCACATGTTATTGACAGTTCACTGTCTTTTTATTGCAATATCTTCAGGTGGGTACGGGATTGTATGGCCCCAAATGATAATAAATTAGGTGAATTGCATTGTATAGTTGTATAGTCAACAAAATGCCAAAATGGGATGGTTGAATGCAAAAAAAGGCACCGGTTTCTAAGTCTCTCAGGGAGCTACAGTAGCATTTCATGCCCTGCAAATCACAATGATTTCCAAACATCGGCAGTGCGAAGATCAGCACTCAAATCAGCTCTTGCGGCCCTTAGGATTTTTTTTGCAGCCATGACCTACCCCGCCACAGCCCACCCCTTCCAATGGCGGCCACAAAGCCACAGCCCCAAGACAGCCCTATTGGCTAGTCACTAGTAGGGATCCAGTGACCATCCTGACTTCACTGAAACACTAAATTACGAAATGATCTAAAGAACCTTTCAAACAAGAAAAACACGTGCTGAATTGATTGGCAAAGTTCAAACATATTCCGTTTCCTGCCAAATGCAAACGCCGAGGCGCACACACCAGGCCATCTCAAATGGTCTCTGGAATCCTTCTTGTAGATTTTCAAAAAGTCAAATCCTTTACAGCAAGCTTTCATGCTGCACTCTTCCAGATTCCATCTCATTCCACACACGTCCACACATCGCCACCGCCTCCTCATCCAGAGGCCCCACCTCCGATGCTGGCGGCTCTGCAGGACTTTCATCCATGCCAGGTGCGGTGGGATGCCCAAAGATCTGCAGCAGGTGGTACCTCAAATCATCCTGGTCCCTGACCTTCAATCTCAACACCTGCACACCCAGGTCCTCCAAGAACTGATCGCGCCGAGTGCGCACTGCCCGGTCCAACCGGGAAAGCTGGAGGTCCATGGGATCCACTTCCAAGTTCAGGTGAGGTGCATCGCCTTGCAGCAGTGCCAGACCAAGCAGTGGCCCCATCTGGTGACGCTTATTCACCAGGATGGATGGAAGGAAGTCTTGAACCGTTTCGGCGCACTGTTTTTGGAAATCAGCCTGTTCCAGCTGCGGCTTGGGGCTCAACTGTGTCCACCCTTGCTGACTTGCAACTCCAGCTAGTCCTTCCAACAACTCTGCGACTTCGGGTGACTCCAAGTCAGCTTGGATGAAGGCACGTGCAAGCAGCGAACCAGGAATAGGATGCATCTTCCCCAAACGCCGCGAGGCCTCCCTCGCGATGCTGATCAAAGGCAGCTCACCGTGCATCCCTGCTCGGACATATGCAAATGCAGTGTATCCAAGGTGGGACAACCCGAACAAAGAGACGGTAGCTGCACATCGAACACCCAATGCCTTGAACAGGTCCTCATTGCTGATCTGCAGTTCAGAGCATGCCCACACAATCTGGTCTACTGTGGATGGATCCAAACCATCAACCAGCTCAGCTGTACGTGCAACAACTGCTTCCATCAAATGTTGGTCCGAAACACGTGCCTTGGCCCAAGCCATGAAAATGTATCTAAGGTCGAGAGGTCTGAGTGTTGAAACATGCGGCAAGGTGGCACGCTCAAGAGCCGGCAAGTATGCACCAGGATTGTCCGACAGCCTCGACACCGCGTGCATCATTAAGGCTAACTGGTCACCCTTGAAGTCTGGACACACGCTCCACAACAGCCGCTGGGATGCAACTTCCAAGAGTTGTAGCAAGTGAAAGCTTGCTAGCAGCAAAGGACACCCGACAGAGGTCCTTAACCGAAAATTCGGCTGTTTTCAGATTTGCGGCCTTGCCAAGAGACTCAAGGAATTCCACATGTGTGCATCCGGACTGAGAAAAAGCCCACAGTATCGTGGCAATGGTCCTTGCATCGAAATGAAGCACAAACTGCAGACTACATGCCGCGATTCGATCAAACAGCAAAGGATCGAGGGCCCGCGACCTCGCCAATCCAAAGATGACGTGCAGCACTTCGAAGGATTTTTCAGGACCTTTGGCCACCCAAGCAAACGCCAAGTCCATCAGCAGCTGTTTGTCTTTGCAATGCAGCAAGCAAAGGCCATGAATTGTATATGAAATCCTGTCCTTTGGAATGGACGAAAGATTGCGACGAATTGCCTTGCACAAGGACTGCACCAGGGCATCATCTTTGCAATTTGCTTGGCCCCAAGTCAGCGCTACCTTGGACAACTCGTGGGGGCACAGGCTCTCCATGCGCTCCTCCATGACCTTTGATAGCACTTGGAACATCCTTTGATGGAGGAAACCAGCAGCAAGGCTGGCTTCCACAAATCCAACAATGTTGCATGTCTTCAGCTTCTTGAGACCATCAAAGCGATAGATATTCGTCAACATCACATCTGTTGCCGCTTTCAGCAGCTGCTTGTCCGGCTTTACTCCCGCCCTCTGAAGTGAGAGAATCAAATCTGCCCAAGACCAGCAGCTCAAACTACTAGGATCCGCCTGGACTCTCCCCATCATCACCCTCAGCATCTCTGGATCCCGCTGGCTCGCTTGAGAGAATGCACCTGCGATCTGCACCAGTTCCGCCATCTTCATCTCCTCCACTTTCTGCGTCACGGTGCTGCCGATGTCCCTCCAGGTAGCCTCATCCCTCCACCGAAGCGACGCCAGGCTCCTTGTGAGATCCACCAGGTCGCCACGCTGCAGCTGCTGCAGCCGCCCCAGGCAGTGTTGGACGGACGGCTGAAGACCTGCATGGCCATGAGACGAAGGTCCCGTGGCAGCCAATTTTGCCAGCTGGGCTACCTGTGCACATCTCGCCATGGGATGGAAGGATGGCCAGTGTTGGGAAGTCAATAGCCTGGAAAAACTGTTGCACGCGGACGCACTATGTCAAGATTCATGTTCATTGAAAGCAACTTTGAGAAAACATGGACACGCATTGCGGGGATTCTTGAGAGCAATGTTATTCAAGGTGTTGTTGTGCTGTACAGCCAGAATCTCAAGTTGCATTGCTTGGTTTCTATTTGGAGACATAAAGTCCACAGTGCTCACGTATGAAAAGCAATCTTGATCCGAAAAAAGGTTTCAAGAGCACACTCCAGTCATGGCCCAAGTGAGATGCAGAAGGATGGAAACTCCAGGATCTGTTTCTGCACGGGTTGGTCTTCAACCAGAAATTGCGATTCTCCAAACTCCAAACAAGTCTCCCCAAGACGGCTTCATGTCCCGCCTGCAAGGCAAGTCTCTGTGGAGCTCCATTCGGCACAGGCTAAATGGCCAGGATTTGCAGCCATGAACTTACTTTGTACTCAAAAGAGCGTCAACAAACATGGGAGAGCTGTAAGCAAAAAAAGGTGGCTGTAACCAACAATGACAATCTTCTCAACAAGAACAGCAATTGCACTGCATGACCAAAAACGGAGTACAGTCTGCCCCAATCTGAGAGCCTGAAGAACCTTTCTTGATTTTGACATCCTGTGTCGACTTGTTCTGGACGCTGCAGCAAATCCGTAACATGGTCTCCTTCATTGATCATGCGTTACACAACAGTCGGATCATCCATCTCTGTTGGATCTCAAACATCGTTTCTCTGAGCCGGGCAATCGAAGGGACTGGCAGCAATGACTACATCCCACCGAAACAGCTCCCGTAAAATCTCCCCAGTGTCGAAGAGCCATGCATTGATGAATGGTCAAGTCATAATTCTCCCAAAAAAACACTGATCATTCCGTTGTTACTGTTGTTCCACACATATGTCCTTCTTGGGATTATATCATACTAGTAACTAGTAATATATATATATAGATACAGATATTAAATCTTTATCCAAATCCCTCTTGGCTATTTTCTACCTGGAAGAATCAATGGCTGAGGGATTCCTCATGCATGTTTGAACCCCTCAGCAGCATTCACAACAGTGCCAGTCCATGAGCTCATCGAAGGAGACACGCGAGTTGGGATGCAGATTGTGCAGGGCATAGATCCTGTGGCGCATTCCCCCTCCGCTCCAGTGACTCCAGTGGAAGTAGATTTACAAATGGAAAAGGAAAGGTGGTGGGCTGAAAAAATGTGATAAACACTAGCACCAGGAAAGGGTGTAACCAGACCCTGGCACCCTTCCTATTTTCAGGCAGGTTGCGTCGACTGCAACATGGAGATGAATTGTCACTGCTTTTGATATGCCATGGAAATCGTCTCTGTTTCCGTTTGACATCTCGCAATGTTGCCCATTGAATATGGAGCAGGTTGATCTCCATTATTCTCAAACTCCCAATTCTTGTGGGCTCAAACCCCTTAAACTGAGTGAAACCATCAATTTTACAAAATGCAGCATCTCCATCCACCAGAAATCTGGACCTTTCCAAGTGCGCATCTCGATGAGCACCTTGGGCGGCAGAGCATGTTGGGCCGTGGGTCAAGTGGCTCAGTTGAAGCAGTTGAAGAGGATCACTTCTGGACTTTCAATGATTTCTATGTACCATCTGGTTATTTAACATAGCCATGGAAAATCACCATTTTTAATAGGTAAACCATCTATGAATGAGCCATTTTCCATGGCTATGTTAAATAACCAGAGGGTATATGTGTTGTTTCACGACATAGGGAAACCTCATTCAACAAAGCTTCGGTTGCCCTCCGGCAAGCCATACATGGAGGATTTGCCATGTTGGATTGGCGGGTCCCAGAACAGCTTGAACTGGGAGCCCTTGTACATCTTTAGCTCACGTCCAAGACTTCAACCCAATTCAACTTCAGGTGAATCAACGTGGCAATCACCATTCTACAGTACACAAGAGCGTCCACGCTAAAACTACGAAGCATGGAATCCTCAAAAATGGAAATATAAGTGGCAGAATGATGGCGGGTCTTGTCTTTGACACACTGAAAATGTCAATTTCCACGATTGAGTTTTGGGGTCAAAAATCGAGATTGAACACTGCACAGATTGAACACTGCACGTCACAGTTCTCTCTTGTGTGCGATTACCTGCAAACCATGAGAATAAATCTCTCATGGAGCATCCATATTCACAGATCCTGAAGTAGATACCAAATTGGACCTTTGACACTAGGAAACTCATACAGAAAATTGGGGGATTTCGTTTTACTCCAGGATGCTGACTAGTTGGATATGGGGTCAACACCTCAGACACTTGAGAGCCCATAGATATCCATCCGTCTTTAGCATCAGCATATTATATTATATAACTCAGCTTATATTATTATCAATCAATTGAAAAAACAACAACTAAACCTGATTCTAGTCATTTTCTGTGTCAACCATCCAATATATGCTAGATCCATATTCGATTTAACCCATCCTCGGCGTATCCAACCTCTTCAAAAACCCATAACTAATTGTAGAACCATCCAATCTCTCAGCATATCTCATCATATCTCACCGTTCTCTCCTCATGTTGGTGATTGCAGCTGGATGTCTTTGGTTCATTTCCCAGCATTTTCCCAGCATTTGCCCAGCATTTTTGGGATGATGTCCCTCCAAATCCACAGCATTTTCTGCTTGCGGCACTTCGCATGTAGGGCGCCATCCCGCGCAGCATCTCGGAGAGTTCCTCCCTGGACACGGACCTTGGGGATTTCTTCGGATGGGAAACCCCAAACAAAATGGATGGGAAAAGGTATGGAAGGGTTAGGTTTACAATGGTTCACTATAGAAGGTTGAAAAATCTAGATGTGGTTTACTAATGTTTACTATTGAAATTTTGAATTATCATGAATCATCTAGATGTTGATGATGTTAGATCCGTTTAGTAAGTCCCTTGGGTACCCAAACTGGTTTGATCAGGACAACCCGGTGACGTTCTAGCATGAGCAAACATGCCAATATAATCCACCATATGGATGGGTTGTGGTTGGCACCTTGGCACCATGTAAATGGCCTGCATTTTGCGTTACGGTACGTTAGTTCTGATATTATCAGGTTGGCTGATTTGGTCTGCGGTGGGTTGGAGTGCTGGGATGTTTATCAAAGGTTTGTTGGGACATCTCTGATGAATCTTGACAAGAAAGGTTTATTGTTCCGTAGGAAACTGATAAGTTGATGAGTAATCTATAGGAATTGCAGGGAACGTGCAATCGTGATGAAGACATATTGGACATGTGGAGTCTGGAACATCATGTTGAGCAGGATCCCTCGTGTGTCTTGGTGCCGGCAATCATCCCAAGACCAAATCACAAATGAAACGGCGCAACCTAATTGATGTAATTTCAGGTATGTTTTGCCCTGCTGTTCTGGTAGGTCAATAACGAACGAATCACCCATCACCCATCAGTCCTTTGTACGAGTACATCCCCTGACCCTCCAGTCTGTGCAGGTAGCACCAATCGACAAAAACTGAGGCCTCAACCCATCTTGCTCCTCATCGTACATCATGAACGCAAATCGCACCTGCGACCGCTTGGAACCGCAGCGGGCACTGGGATGATGCATGAACTTGGCATATGAATTGCCGAATGGGTTTATGTTTGGAAAAAAACCTGGCGATATGTCGATCATGATGCTTCCACTGGCTTCGAGGATCGTTTCAGTGGATGCGCGCATCTGCAAGGCTAGAAAGAATGGTGTGCTCGTTTAGTGAATAGCTACAGTGGATTTTGTGGATTCGGATGGGGTCAACATTGTTAACCCTGTTTTAAAGCATCGCAAATTATGTGTCCTCTATGAGTCTGTCCCAAAAAATACGCTACACAAAATTCCTCTGGGTGATCATCATTTTCCCAGCAAGAATTCTCATTTTTGCTGGTACAGTATCCCCTAGTTTTGGACAAGGCAATGGCTCCCAACTCCCAGTGAGCCTTGGTTTCCAGGTTCGTCTTTGCGAACCTGGCAACGTAGAAAACTGTCACTCGAAGCAAAGGAATTGAGCCGACCTCTATACATTCATCACTCAGCGGATGAACAGTCAAATGTCACATATGCTGAAAAAGGATGGTGGTTCCAGCCCACTTGTAAATATATGTTACTGTAAATATATGTATGTAAATATAACATCAAATGGGGAGTCCTATGAAATTTGACAGGAAACTCGGGAACCTTGGCGATTCTGGGGGTGCATGTGCGGGGACGTGTATACAATCAATTACTGCAATTGATGGGTCAAGATAAGAAGTTGGATGGCTTGCTGATACCAATAGTTGCCAAAAGCAACATTGCTAGACCATGAAGTCCACCACTCCATGAGTCAGGGATTCTATCATAATCAATTACCATCAATTATATACATAGTAATTACCATCAATTACCATCATTGACATAGTTGCTCACCATCCCATCCCAGCAACCACTGGCAACCACCAATGTTTTTCTCCGCGCGCTGCACTCCCAGGCTCTGCGAGTCGCCCAGCGTCATCAGTTCCCGCGTCATCTCCGAGACCAGCGTCAACGCGGAGATGCTCAGGGTGCAGGAGCCCTCCAGCGACTCCGCAGGGATGGGGCTGGAGGGTAGGCCTCAGGTGGCCCTAAGCTGGGAGAGGATGCGAATGGGATGTGGAAATGTATGAAATCTGTAGGTTTTGGGGGTGGCCAAAGATATCAAAAGATGGATCAAGGAAGATCAGTGGATGATCTTTCTATGATCAAAGGAAGTTTAGGGGGAGAAACTTCCGTGTTACGGACTTTTAGAATGTCAGGGAAAGAGTTAGTCAAAGAAAGAGTTAGCAAAGAAAGAGTTCGTCAGGGAAAGAGTTAGTGAGGGAAAGAGTTAGTCAAAGAAAGAGTTAGTCAAAGAAACAGTTAGTCAGGGAAAGAGTTAGTCAAAGAAAGAGTTAGTCAGGGAAAATGGG